TTCAACACCCTGAATGCACTCAACCTACCTCTCAGGTCCAATTCAGTCATAATGACATTACCTTATCACCAGAGGACACTTCACCTCATTATGACTGTATCAGACATGAGAGATCTGTTATGCATGTTCAGAGTGTTACCGTCCTTTAGGATATCCATTGAAATAGGTACGATATGCGACATAGTACCTTCTTCCCCGAATACAACATACGGTCATTATACCTGTATTTAGACTCAAAGATGCACCAAGTAGAGCTATTATGACCGTACACTGTATTCGGGGGAACAAGGCAGGATACAGTGATAATGTCGGCCGTCTATTTGGGCGAAGACGGTACAGCACCCTCCGAAATGTATCTGACTGCAGTTACAGCCATACCTGGATGAAACTGACCGCATTAACGTCCACAGCGGCCATACCAGGATGAAATTGACCGCATTAACGTCCAGAGCTTAGTAGGAAAAGTCGTGGTGGGAGAGCATACTCACATTCCGACATTTTCTACTAAGCTCTGGACGTGATTGTGGTAAGATTCACCGAGGTTCGGCAGTAATTGCAGTCAAATGCACTGAGGAAAGGGCTGGTGTCAGTATGCCACTGAATCCTGAAAATCAGTGGGAAGCATATGTTCGACATCTCCCGCTCGTGCAGAACTCGAATCAGGGCTGGGCCAGTCCAACAGGGGCCGGAGCGATCCAGGGGGGGTGAACCGGAAAACCGGTTGGCCCAAAAATGTGCCCAATTTTATATTATTTGTTTTTTTCTGATTGCGGGATCCGTCTGCACTCGCCGAGATCTGTCAGATTCCGCAATAAAACTTTGAAGATCAGATTTCCTTGGGGGGTGTACCAGCGGCAGGGAGGAGGGGGGGGGGGGGGGGGGGCGAAGAGGAGGGGGAGGAAGAAGAGGGGGAAGAAGAGGATGTTTAAAATAAAAAAAATAAAAAAATAAAAAAANGAAGAGGAGGGGGAGGAAGAAGAGGAAGAAGAAGAGGATGTTTAAAATAAAAAAAATAAAAAAATAGGGGGGGGAGGGGAAGAAGAGGAGCGAAGAGGAGGGGGAGGAAGAAGAGGAAGAAGAAGAGGATGTTTAAAATAAAAAAAATAAAAAAATAAAAAAACCACCACAGCTATGTCCATCTATGCCCAACGGGCAGGAGGAGGAGGAAGAAGATGAAGTTGTTTAAAAAAAAAGAAAAAAGACGCCCATGACGCTATCGATGTCTATGGCTAATGGAGGAGGAGAAGAACAAGAGAAAGAAGAAGAAGGAGAGGAAGAAGAAGTTTTGCGATTTTTTTAGCAAAAAACAAAAACCGGATGTCTGTCTACGGCAGAGGAGGAGGGAAAGAAGAAGTTTCCAAAACTGAAATTTTAAAACGGAAAAGAAAAAAACGGCGGTTACGACTGTCTACGGCAGATGAGGAAGAAGAAGAGGAGGAGGAGACGAAGAAGAGGAGAACTGGATTAGTGGAGGAAGAAGAAGAAGCACGGGAAGAGAATGAGAGGAAGAAGAAGAAGAAGAAGAAGCAGGTTGAAGTGGCAGGTCGACGCAGACGGAAAAAAAGAAAAAGAACCAAAAGAAAAGGGAAGGAGGAAGAAGGCGAAGAAGAGGAGACGAGGAAGAAGACGAAGAAGAGAAGAGGACAAAAAAGACGAAGAAGCGGAAGGGAGGAAGAAGAGAGGAGGAAGGAGACAAAGAAGAGGAGGAGGAGAAGACAAGAAGAGTGGAAGACGGCAAAGAACAAGAAGAAGAAGAAGAGAAGAACACAAGTGGAAGAAGAAGGAGAAGAACAGGAAAGGAGAAGAACAGGACGGGACGAAGAAGAACGAGAAGAGTGGAAGAAGAAGAAGAAGTAGAAGACGAAGGCAGAGCGGGGAATGGAAATGAAGAAAGACATGGAGAACAGACTCGTCTTTGGTAGGGGGCGCGATGGCACAGCTTGGTGGTGGGGGGCACAATGATGGGAGCCGCTGCCTAGGAGAAGAACGCAATGGTGTGGCTCGGTGATGGCGGGCATGATAGCTGGTTTATCTTCGGTGTGGTCACAGTGGCACAGATCGAGTGTGAACGGAGCGGCGTCAGGCTGGTAAGGATTGAGGGGGGTTGGACCCACGATGCAATGCATCCTCCCCCCTAGAGAATTCGAGATGTAGGATTTCCCGCGCGACACTGCTGAAAGAGCCCACCAATCTTGGCAGCTGATCGGCAACGATCGGCGGCCAAGTTCGGTCACCGTTTTTTTGCGAAAGCACGGGCCTACTGCAATGAACCTCACAGTTCAACACCAACGAGCGAACATATTCACACCATATGCATGTATGAGTTCACACGAAGTCCACATTGGAGACCAGAGAATTGAGACCAGATAGCGCAAATTATGAATTCCAACAAGTTATAACAAGAGCAATAAGAGTTCCGAGTCACTGGCGCACAACAGTGCATGTCATAGGTAACCAAACATTCAACATAATCACCCAGGTAAGTATCTTCTTCCTCTCTGCTCTTCTCTCTCTGTTGTATCACCCCTCCTTGCTGGTCTTCTCTCTGGCTATGCCCTCGCTGTATCTTCTCTCCCTACATGCATGCACACACACACACAAACTTCTACTCAAAGATACTCTGAATACACCCACTGTCAACTCTACTAACCCCTCTGTAGTCTACTACTATCTACTAACATTAACACCCTGCGCTGGCGCAGCTATGGCTGCCTTCTCCCTGCCAGCGCTGTCTTCCTGTCTCTCTCTCTCTCTCTC